ATATAAGCTAACCTTAAAGTGGCCAGTGTGGATGGAGAATTATACTTAACGAGTTGGTCACAAAATAATTTATGGTTGAGAGATTATTATATACTTTTGTATAAAAATATTGCTTCCAAAGAAAACTTTTCTGACTTTGAACCTTCAGGGTATCTATGTCTCCAGCTTTGGCGTTTCGCAGCCTTTAGTGTTCCCTTTTCTGGAGCTTCTGTTGCCATTGCCTTTGCTTTATTGCGTCAAGTGGCATTTGGTTGGGATTTTCATTCTGAAATGTATTGCAGCATTTCCCGTGTGCTCGTGCAGGAGGGTACTCCACGGTCACTGCCTCAATTCGCATCCGATCCGGGGCCATCTATTATACATTACGGCCCTGGTCACCAGGAATCGAAAACAGTAGCAGTCACAGTTCCAATTCCAGTCACAGACAATTACATGCAGACCCAAAGAACCGAGTCCTGGCTCTGAAATTGAACTTCAGCTCACGTGGAGCATTTTAGTGCCTCATCGTCCTGGAAGGATTCGCAGTATTGGTTTTGGTATTGGCCCTGGTACATTTGTTTATTTGCTTCATATTTTAGGGCTTTACGACGTTTCCGGCACGGAGCAGGTTCTGGGCAGGTATTTTGGCCCTTTTCAACAATACAAAGAGGGATATAGGAGGGAATGGGCGAGGAAAACCACAAAGAAAAATTCATTTAGCAGTTGCTTTTTTGCCATCAAATAGAGTAAAATAATTGCATTCTCCTTACTAGGAAGCGTTACTTATGTCATGTCAAAGTTGTAAAGAAATCGTATACTTTTCCGCTGACTTAACATTCTGTCGTTCCCCAACTTACTACATATATTTTTCCAGTGCACGCAATAGAAAACAGCATCGAGAACAATTCCCGCTTCCTTCCACCTGTCGTTGCTTTTGATTTTCCGCAGCTTATTTGCTTATAGCCATGAAAACTTCGCCAGTCCTGTGTCTTGAGTCCTTTTCCTGTTGCCGGGTTTCTCTCCCTTGCCAGGCAAATAATGCCTTTTGGCCTTCGTTATGTGGGAAAATTTATTAACCCGCTTTCCGTTGCCTTTTCTGTACTTGTAAATGTGGTCGATACATTCGAAATGTTATCAAAATTGGGCACACAAAATGCTCGATTTGAATAGCTGGGTAATGGAAAAGGTTTCGGGAACATGTTTCCCCAATTAGTTGCAGATAAATCGAAAGGGCTGTTTATTGATTGACAAATCCATTAACATGGAAATGCTTTTCATGTCATTCAATGGGGTATTTATTCATTATGAAATATGAGGAAGATAGTACATACCAATTTTATTCGTTTTTCAACTAATTCCTCTCCCTCAGGAGTTTATGGTTAGCAAAACTGACGTGTCCTTCAGGATCTTGACTAACTTGCCAGTCAAAATTATGGTTTCAAGTCATTTCAACATTACCACCGACCATTGAGTCCAGATTTTTGAAAAGCTTCACTTAACTTTCACAAAAACTTTACACAAACGAGGTTCAAGCCTGGCTGCCTTAGAACAATGTTAATAAATGAATGAACAGAGCAAGTATTTTGACAAGTGCTCGTTGGCAGCCAAATAAAATGTCAAGAAACAGATCAAAGCTACCCGGGCCAAGACAAGCGTGAATATTGCATGGCCCAGCGAAATGTTTTGTTGGCCAGGGATAAAGTGGCATTGGGAGGGTTAGGAAGACTACTAAGTCCCAGGACCTACAATCCAGAACCACAATGCACTGAGTGCTCAATGGGTGCAGCCGAGCAAATGACAGGCCACAGAACAAATGTTACTCATGGCCAAAAAAACAATGCCGAGCCAGAGTGAAGTTTAAGATGCGGCCAACCACAAAACACCAAAATCATTTTAGCTACATACTCGTACTGTTTCAACGCAGCTGAGGCAAAATTACACTGGACCTTAAATTATAAAGGACTTACCATTCACTTGCTCTACCAAAGCAGTTGTATAGTTATGTCAAGAAATCAATTGTAAGCTTGAAGTGAAAAGCTTTTTATACCCGTTACTCGTAGAGTAAAAGGGTATACTAGATTCGTAGAAAAATGTGTAACAGGCAGAAGGAAACGTTTCAATAGCCGAGTCGATCTGGCCATGTCCGTCTGTCCGTTCAACTGTCTATCTGTCCGTATGAACGCCTCGATCTCAGGAACTACAAAAGCTAGAATGTTGAGATTAAGCATGCAGCTTCCAGAGACTTAGACGCCCACAAACCGCACAAAACTGTCACGGCCATACTCTTAAAAAATGTGATAATTTTTTAATGTTGAATATATCTTGTAAATTTCTACAGATTTGCCAAAAAAATGTTGCCACGCCCACAAATTTAACCTAATACCCTAACAACTGATCGTTCCTCTTCGAGTGATTAAGTGCCCTTGTATCTTGTAATCCCTTTGCAGACATTATCGATGCCCACAAGAACCAGCAATTGTGCTCCTTGACCGGCGTGGAGGGTGGTCACTCCCTCGGGGGATCCCTGGCGGTACTACGCACTTTGTATGCCATCGGGGTCCGCTATATGACGCTGACCTCAACCTGCCACACCCCCTGGGCGGACTCGAGCTATGCGGACGCGCCGACCTTCAACATGAAACATGGCGGCCTCACCATTTTCGGCAAGGTAAGTGTGCTGTTACAGCTGATTTAATGCTAATTAGTTGAACGCTTCTTCGTCCTTGGTCCTTGGTCCTTGGTCCTTGGCCCTCGGCCGTGGGTAGCTATCCTTTATGGAGCTTACATGGGGATTTGGTCGCTGATGAGGCGTCCTTTCTGTCCCCGTCTCTTCCCCGCACCAACTTTATTGTTCGAGTTACTGGGGTCAACCGCAGTCAACGCTTTGTTGGCTTAGCCATAAACATGTGCAGTGGCACAATGGGTGGGAGAACGTACACTGAGAAAAAAGTACGCCAAGAGAAAAAGGGTAGGCCGCTAAAACACGTTCATCGCTTTAAATGCCGAAATTAATGATAAGTAATGATTTTTGGAAACCTTAAAAAGTATATAAAATAGTATATCTAAGGAAAAGGGGAGAAGCATTATTAAGGAATGATTCCGAACTTTTTCCCAGTGCTTGAAGGGAAACCGTCGAGAATTCTGGAGAGGGTAGTTGAGTACTTAAGTGCCCGTTCTGCGGGAGTTTTGGGCGACTTTGGGGCTCTGGCGGGCAGAAGGGACTGCTGGCACCTTGTGCCCTCTAATGGCGCAACAGTTCGCAAATTAGGTGCCTACTACAGTTTACAATTGCCTAGCGGCTTTGCTGCGGGACTTCCGTGTGACCCGACCAACCGGATCATATATATTAAATTAGCCCACGGGCTCCTCCTCAGAAGTAATCCGAATCCGATTCCTGTGGCCGGCTGCGGGAATTAATGGGGCAAAAGCAGCGGTGGCTGCTCGAATACTTAAGTCTATCATGGATTTGCACTAATCAGAACCTGAGAGTCGGGGCATCAATTTCATGGTTAGCTGCTAATTGGCAATATGCAAGTGGGCAATCTAGATAATCCGCGGAAGGTGGGAGCACCTGGAATGGGACCTACTATAGTATAGACTTTGGGGGTAAAATTAACTTGGCATCATACAAATGATATCGGATATCCATGGAAACGTGAAACAATATCTGAGTTCAATATATCATATCATCTCATATTTCTGACCTTTCATATCATTTGACCTATTTCTTTGGAAATGCACTTTGAAATTCATTCATTTTGAAATAGAAAAAACAAAGTCTGACCTTTTGTTACTACAATTTCACCGAGCCAAAATTGCCAATAAAACTGGCGATCAAAAGCCATCTGAACTTGAAATTCCATCAACATTTCTGGGCTCTCAATCAACGTGAGGTCATCAAACTTGGTGCCATCAAGAATCAAGGCCAGGTGACAATCAAATTTTAATCAAAATTGGCCTTGCTCAGTCAGTCAGTGCACACAGGCAAGTTTGTATGCAACCCTTGCATTTTTACTTGTGTTTATTTTAGATGCTTTTTGCACTCTCGAGTCGAATTCGCGTGTAATTATTTTAAAATGCGAAATTTTTTGTCGAGCACCTCGAACCCCGATGATGAGGTTCAAACGCGATTACACCGATATTGCAATTTGTTGGGCTTTCTGCTCTTGATGGCTACTCTTGGCGGGCCTCCGCTTCCTCTTTTCCGTGGGCTAGTGCCAAATGCTATTTGCAGTGGTTCGCCGGGACAGACAAAGTGCATGCGGAAATAAAATGTGCAGATATGTGCAGAAATGTGCACCCAAACAAGCCGAGCACATACGTGTACAGCTGAATAGACGAATAACAATGGCAGCGAAAATATCAACAAACCATCACAGCTGGCTGCTCGCGAGCAGGAAATGTAAATTACTGAGGACGGAATATGTGCTCGAATTATTTATGCATAAAAATGATATATTTCGACGTGTTTGCTTTCCATTTTCCAACGACCAGCGCCCTGCCAATTAAATATGGAAAACAAAATGCCAACAAATGCCAGCGTCACTTCCTCATTTAACCTGCGGAATTTTCAATTACACATTTCAAAACAATAGTCAGCGAACAAAATACGAAAATGAAAAGTGAAAAACTTTTTCAGGGCGCAGGCGCCAGGAGAACTTCCCACTGGGAGCAGAGAAAAGTGGTAGCCAGCCAGAATGAGAGGAACACTTGCTTCGGTATTGGTAAATGGAAAATTTCAGGCGAAGCTAAGATGAGCAGGCAATGGGAAAATCGAAATTTTCATTCATACTATAAGGTGAATGGCACAGTGATGGAAATTCACGGAACATTGGAAACTTTAATGTTTTTCAAACACTAAGAGGATATAAAATATCTTTCACAGATCAATTCCTGAAAATATAAATAATTTGTTTAAGCAAAAGGAAGATACACAATAAATTTGGAAAAATACATATTTTGCAGTTTAAAATCAAAGTCAAATTTGAGGTTTCATCATTTGATTATCATTTGATTAACTCTATTTTGCAACTCAGATTGAAAAATTGCAAGCTTAAGCTCACCCTTTGCTCCTTTAAAAAAATCCAAAATAATAAATAATAGTATCTTCTATAACGATTAACCCACGGTGGCCACTTAGCGCTGTCCACCCGCACCATCTAAAAATACCCGCCCACCGCCGTTGCGCCCATCAAGTGGCGCCAGTCACATGGGCCATTGTGAAAACGCGCTCTCTGGTGAGCATTTTCCCGCTCGGCGGCTCTCTCGCTGGCTTTTCCTCGCTCTTGCCACGAGTTTCCCTCGGCGCTTGCGGTAGGAAACGGATAGTTTCGATGCGAATCAGCTCTTTGGGGCGCAGCGGATTCAGTCGCCGAACGATTTTCGCCCCAACAACGAGGAGGCAGCTGCTGAAAATCGACTCGTCGCGTTATTTCAGTGAAGTGAATGGAAAATCGAGGGAACGAGAGGGAGGACGGAAAAGCAAGAAAATACGAATATACACAGAATATACACGAAATTCTTTTTATAACGAACCAAAGCGCGCATCGCAACGCACATAAAGCCACAAAAAGGTGAACACATTAGCTAACAAATTCGAGTACTAACCCGCCCATGTTTTTTTGGAATGCAATATGTACTAACCCAAAAGAAAAATCGCTGAAAATGCAGAGGCAAGGGAACTAATCGACTACTTCCTCCTCTATACGAATCGAACAAAAATAACAAAACCAACACTCGACGACGACGACGACACTTTCTGGCATCGTGATTTTGATGATGACAACGCAGCAGCTTGTGGGAAAGCCAGAAGCAGCGGAAAACGAAGAAAAATCACCAGCAGCAGCAGGAGGAGCAGCAGAAGGAGCAGCAGGAGCAGATATGACGGCGGCCACGGGTGGTGGGAGTAGTGGGGCGGGGGGTGGTAAGACTGGAAAGCACAGGTCGAGGTCATCTGCCCGCTACGACGATGTGGAAAAGCAGCAGAGGAAAAGCCGAGCCATCGTCTCCATACCGAACACCATCAAACTGAGTATGCTCAACAGCGGACTGCTGTCGTTCGAAAGGATAAAGCTCGAGGCACGCGATGAGAACAACTCGCTGTCGAAGACGATACCCAACGGACCCATCGATATCCGGCATTTCCTGAAACTCTGCGATCTGCGCCGCAAATTCCCGGTCCTCTACAAGCTTGAGTTCCAAACTGCGGCCAAGGTGGAGAGCAACACCTGTCGGCATGCCTTGAAGAAGAACAATCTGGAGAAGAATCAGAATCCCAAGTGCATTCCCTACGACTACAATCGGGTGGTGCTGGAGAAAGTGGGTGGCCTGCAGGACTCGGACTATGTGAACGCCTCCTACGTGGACAGCCTGCTCAAGCCGAACGCCTATATAGTGACCCAGGGTCCTGTCGAGGAGACGGTCCAGGCCTATTGGCGAATGGTTTGGCAGGAGAACATCAGTGCCATTGTGATGCTGACGAAGACCTTCGACTTCGCCAAGGTAATGTGCCACCAGTACTGGCCACCCAACATGGAGGTTCACGAGCAGTACGGCGATATCTTCATCAATATCGTTAGGGAAGAGCAACTGGCCAACTTCCATATACGAACTTTCAGGCTCTACAAGATGAACGAAAAGCAGGAAGTGACCGACGAGAGGTTGATCCTGCAGTTTCACTACACCGAATGGTACTCCCACTCGTGTCCCTTCTCCAATGCCCTGCTGGAGTTCCGGAGGAGAGTCCGCCTGGTCGTGGGCAACATCATCAAGGACGAGGATGACATGCGGGGTCCCATCCTGGTGCACTGCAGCGATGGTGGCGGCAGATCGGGTGTCTATATGTCCATCGATGCCAATCTGGAGCTGGCGGAAGAGGAGGAGTGCTTCAATGTCTTCGGCTATCTCAAAAAGTTAAGGCAATCGCGCAAAGGTCTGGTGGAGAATGTGGAGCAATACAAGTTTATATACGACACCCTGGAGGAGCACATCATTTGCGGCAAGACCTGGTTCCCGGTCTCCGAACTCTCCGATCGCTTGAAGGCCAAGGCCAGGAGGAATTCGGGCACCAAAATGAACGAATATCAGGCGGAGTACGATCAGATATGCAAGCAAACCCCACGATTCACCATTGGCGATTGCGCTGGAGGTCACAGGGCAGATAATCGCGAGAAGAACAGGGATGTCCTGTGCGTACCCCCGGACAACTTCAGGCCCTACCTGACCTCCTTCCAGGGCAATGCCTTTACGGACTACATAAACTCGGTGTTCGTGGACGGGTATACCAAGCCCAGGGAGTACATAGTCACGGAATGGCCCATGAAGCACACGCTGGGTGAGTTTTGGTCCCTGGTCTACGATCAGGAGTGCTCGGCCGTTGTGGTCCTGTGCCAGCCGCCCTCGCAGTCGCAGCAGTATCCCTCCTTCTGGCCCAACAAATCGAAGATGGAGAAGTACGGACCGGTGTTCTCCGTGCACTACGTGATGTCCAAGAGCTATACGAACATCAAGCAGTGGGAGTTCAAGATCAACAAGAAGATCGTCTCGCTGACCGAGATGATGGCCGGGGTGAAGGCCCCGACACGAACCGTCCAACTGTTCCAGCTGACCTGCTGGCCCATGGGTCACAAGGTGCCCAGCTCGACGAACTCGCTGGTCTACCTGATGAACATGGTCGAGATCTGGCGGAACAAGGTCGACTACGGGCCTGTGTGCGTTGTCTCGCCCGATGGTCGCAGTCGTGCCGGTGTTTACTGTGCCGCGAATGCGTGCATCGAGCAGGTCATCCAGCACGGCGAGGTCGATGTCTTCCAGGCGGTGAAGACTGTGCGCCGACATCGTCCTCAGCTAGTCGAGAATATGACCGAGTACAAGTACTGCTACGATCTGGTACTCCACTATGTCCTCCACTTCCTCAACAAAAAGGAGTGAAGTGGGACGGACCAGGCCAAGGAACGTGCTATTTGCAAACTGGTTTGTTTGTTGGTTTGTTGCTACTTTTTTTCTGGAGCTGGTGCTTCAACAATGGTTAACAATGATCCGAAATACTTGTGGTCCACATTTGAAGATGCCTGGATTTGTTTTTTATAATTCCGGGCACCGCCTTAAAGCAATAATACTGAGTATTTTTGTTGTCCACAAAAGCCAGAGAAGGAATGAATTTTGTTGTTACGAGCGTCGAAATGTAATTTCACGCCACTGAAGAGATACTTTTTACTTGTTTTTCGAGCATAAAACAATGATACTACTATATAATGTATAAGCTTTTTGATCTGAAATGTATGTGCCATTTGTAACCCTAGTTGTTGTTGTTATAAACAGGAGGTAATGATATGTGTGATGGGGATTGTGAGTATAGATTGAAGTAGTGAAATGATAGGAACAGAGAACTATTACCATTAAAATTTATATTTATATCTTGTAGTTATTATTACGTTTACTCTTAAACCTTGCTACCTGGGCAATTGTTGATATATATCTAACTACATATACCTATTATGAATCTATTTATACATAAATACATATATACATACATATATAAATGTTACATACTGTTGTAAACGGGAACTCGCAACGTTTCCACTACTGTTGGCAGAACTTTATTTTTTATTCATGTTAAAGAACAAATATATATTGAGCCACATAAAGGGGAAACTTCAAGGTGCTGAAGTGAACAAACTTTATTCATATTGCTTATTTATAAAACTCACAAAACACGGAAACAGAAAAACATACCTATGTACGGGTATATGATGCATCATGATTTTCCTCTTTTTTCGCATTTATGCATTCGAAACTCAAACCTACCTACATACGAGTATATTGTTGTAACTCTAATTAACTTATTTTTACATTGTGTATAAATGTGCGTATGTCCATTTTATCCTTTGTATAAACCAATCTACATGTGTAGACACTAAGCAGAAAAATTGTATTGGATTAGGCTAATGAAATGAAACTGAAGCCGCGAAAAAATGAAACAAATCGAAAAAAAAAATGTGTGTGTATTAATTCGTGGTGGTTGGGAACTTCATTTCAAATAATTTACACAAAAAAGGCCAAGACATGAATAATGTAATATCTGCACTTCATATTATGAATGCCATATATTTAATATTCAATACGTGTTTGTTAGTTAGGCTGAGTCATGGGAATTTATTTATTGAATTTTATATACCAGTGCTCTACATTTCCGAACACATCCATCTGATTTGGCAGATGATCAGCTCCTCCAGATCTTTGCATTCCAGTACTGAGTCATAAAATCGAAATATCAATCAAAATATTTGCCTCCCTCCGCTGAGGCTGAGATCATTTCTGGGCGGAGTGGTTCCAGATGAATTGGCAAATGGATATACTCGTAAACAAAGCATTAAGCGATCCCAGAGGGAGAGCCAAAACAACAATCCGTATAAACCTTGACCAGATTACAGATTACAGTTTAATGCGTGCAAATCAAACAGAGGCGTTGGCCATACAGATATGGCCATTCGATAAGCCACGGAACGTGTTGGCTAGGCGATGAGGTAAGAGGTAAAGGGTGAAGGGTGAAGGGATTTGTGTGCGGTTGCTATAAAATCGATAAATGACAACACACTTTGCTTTAGTCGGCAATAAAACCAACGGCAATAATAGTAAAACTTCGTGGCGCGCAATGACATCAGCGGGAAATCGGAGAGTCGGAAAAGCGAGAAAATGTCGCAATATGAAATTGCAAAATTGTGTAAAAATCCAAACCGAACATTTAAAACCAAAACGAAGCTCAACCTGACTGGCAGAAACTTTTCCGCAGTCCGTTTTATTTATATGGCTCTTCTTTATTCTCATCGAATTTTTGGCATTGTTTTCAGCGCTTTAATTGTGGCACTCATGCAGCGCAGAAATCGTTGCCACGGCTGGGGCCAAATTTTATGCCAGACAAATAAACCAATTAGCTTTTGGAAATTTATCTTTACGACCTATTAATACAAAGAGCAGCGCGTGGCCAAACAAATTGCAGGGGTTTGCGGACGAACGAAATTTAGTTTTAGTTAATTAAAAAGTCAGTGGCAATTAATTTGGGGGATCTGCATGGAAATTTATGACGCGCGCATAAAGTTATGAAAGTGAATCAAAGTGGATTGGCAAATTTATGGATTTTATGGAAGCGAAGTTGATGGAAACTTCAGAAGGATAACTCTATGTGTGCTTACTATTATTTGATCACATTTTGCAGTAAGTAAGCAAGTACCAAATGAAGGCACAGTAAATTTGTATTAGCACTATAACACTATAATATAATATTTTAGTCAAGACTTCTACAGACTTATAGAAGGAGTTCAACTCTTCATATAAATGTTAAATCAAAGCTGAAAAGCTGACGCAAGTGGGCTTACTGGATTTTCGGTTTGAAAAACTTTTGCAGTTATCTGTACATATGTGCCCAGGTTTATTGATGGAGCTTTCTGTCTGGTCTTCCTTAATCTTGGCCATATTAAATCACTGTTTTAGTGGCAAGTGTGTGTTGTTGTCCTAAGCATCCAGAGTTGTTAGCACACATGTTTACAATAAACCCGGCCAGTCAACTTGAGTGCCAACAAACCAAGTGGCAGCTGCAAAGTCCAGACATGACAAGAACTTCTGCCATTCTGGGTGTGCGTGTGTGGGTGTGAGTGTGAGTGCGAGTGCGAGTGTATGTGTGTGTGTGCAGGACAATGGACATTAAGCAAATGCAACACACACATGCACACTCGCCGGCTATATAGCACATAGAGCACATAGCTTTATATTCGCAGTCAAAGTCAGTCACTTAGGCGGCAGGAAGCGACCATTTCAATTTGTCAGTCATCAGCAGGGCCAAGTGCAGTCCTTTTGTGTGCGTTTTGTGCCCATGCGAATGCCTGTGTATGGACTCAAACTATTTGTATTGTGCGCCTGTCAAAGTCGTCGTGTTAACATTAATTAAATCTATAGCCTGACATGCACAACACTGATGTGCGCTCCCCCACCTTCCATTGTCCCTCGGCCAATGTACTGAATTTATTGTTTTGATTCGACATTTTTCATTAACCAGGGAATTCCTGGGCCACATATTTGTCGCAACTATTTAAATATTAAAGAGCACATTAAGTAAACTGGCATTTATCGCTTTTGTTTCAATTGCAATATGTCACCGAGCCATTGGAACGCTGAAAAGTATGCTAAGGCCCGAAGGTGAAAATAATCGCACACGAGTGCTTTATTATTCCCATAATTGTTTCCAATGCCCTCACCCACAAGTGTTGCTCTCTTTGTGTACATTTAAGTGAAGTGAGCTGATTTGCCTGGAGTGCTTTTCATTTATAAACTCGTTTTAAATGGCTGAGAAAGTAGAACGGGAGGGGGTCTTACATTTTATGAGATGCGATCCTCTAGTGTGAATCAAAATACCAAATTAATTTGGTCATATTTAGTATTTGGTTATTATGTATTTTATAAATTTGAAATATATTATATACTCTTTAGTGTTGCGTTATAGGTTGTAGTACAGTACTCTGTTATTTTTATAATATCAAAGCAAATTCTTTACTAAGAGGTCTCATTGCCAATTCCAATCGATATCCCTTGCCCATTTCCAAAATCCAGCGCTGGATTTTTCGAAATTAATTTAAAAATAGGTGGGGCGATGGAAGGGAAGCCCGAGGCCATAAGTAGGAGCACAAAAGGCATGTGTTTAATTATTTAAATTTAATTCCATGTCACATCAAATTAGTGCCACTCATTTTCACCCCGAGCACGTGGAACGTGTAGAGGCCCACTCCTCGCCCCTCTCCATCCAGGCAGCCAGCATATGTGAAAGGGTAAAGGCCAACACTTTTTAACTCATTTCCATTACGTGCCCGCCCCGTGGGCTGGCTATAGCCTCACTTCTCTCTCCTTTGGCTGGCGTAAATAAATGGCAGAATGTTTGTGCATTATGCTGCCAACATATTATTATTATTCTTGTTATAAACTCATTTCGCTTCGTTTTGCTGCCATGGTGCTGCCATGGTGGTCGTATGCGTGACTGAGTGCCAAGAAGTGAGTGCATACAGGTGTGTAATGGGCATCACTGCAATTGCACTCCAGTTGAGGGAAGCAAAACAAACACACGTAGACGGTGCATAATTGAATTAGCCGAACAAGGAGCCCAGGACCATGGCGGCAAAACGGCGCAGTATGCCTCAAACAATGGCTAATAATGCAATCTGCAATTGCCGCTTGGCGGAAGGCACAAAGGTGGCTGCTGCGGAAGCTGGCAGCAACTTTGGGGAACAGACGGCGGAACAAATAGAGTCAATTTTCACACAATATGCCAGACACTTGGCAAAGAATGGCGCCCGATTGGGGGAAAAAATATAAATATTTTTCAAGGCTCCAAGGCAAATTTACATCGACAGCGGGAAGAATAATCACAGCTTACTCGTATATCAGAAAATTATTATTACATTATTAAAGGCACGACAGAACTACTCTGTAGACGAATCCATGACTCGGGTTTCCTCAACTAGCCTAGCATTAAAAAGTCGTACACGAATAATAATTTTTAAATTCAATGTGTGATTTCGCCAGTCGAAAGCAAATATCGCATTGCTTTCATTATTTTATAATTTATTTCATATTTATTTCGCATTTCTGGTTGAACGCATTGATTGGCGATTTGTAATTTATACATTACACCCAGCCAAATAATTGCAAATCAACAAATATAATCAAATATTTATTGATTTGCCTAATGGCATATGCTATGCCACATCACCATCACTAATAACAATTCTACCAGCATTTGTACAACGCAACATTCACTAATTACGCAACATTCAAAATGTCGGCGAAGAAGGTGGAACGTTTCCTTAATTGCTTCCATAAACGGGAGTGTACATTTTAATTATAAACGTATTGTTATGCCTTTTTGTTTGTTTTTGTGAAAAGATCAATGGCATTTTTTAATTCTCACATTGCAATTGAACTAGTAATGCAATTAAGACAATTCACTCGTTGTGTGAAATGCACTTCTAAACTCTATTGAATAATTTGCCAAAAGCGGTTTACAAAATATACGATTATTTAATTTAATTTCGGTAGAAAATATTTGAATACAATGCTGGTTTCTGTCGTCATATTTCCCCCACACGCTTAGCTTCAAAACGATTTAATTAGATATTAAAACATAGTTTGATTATTTTACACGTAAAGTTTCAAGTTGTCGGGGCGTTGCAAAAATTGTTAATGACATTTAAGTACCCAAAGGGTTTTCGGGGCAGAGTTGGGCACCTTCAGAGCAACTTTTTCATGCTCTGGGCCAACTTTTTGCGGCTTAGAGCGGGCATGTGCGTTGTAGAATGCACAAAAGCGTAATTAAATACATAATGAACAGGAGCCGAACAAAATATTATAAACAACGGGCTGCGTTTTGAGGCGGCAGAGTTCGTTGCATGTCACATGTCTCTCATATGGGTGGTCTGTGGAACGAAATGCCATATAAAACCATATAGGACTCACAAAAAGCCCCACAAAATTTGTTCAGCAACCG